TTGTAATACTGAACTTTTTAATGTCGAAGCCATTGGCTCTAGTCTAACTATGGTCTCCCCTTTGATCAATTCCAATATCAAGGGAAGAAAATATAGCTCTGGTCAATGGAAGAATCATCGTCCTTTTTATCCTGTAGGACCTGATCTGAATCCTCAATATTACCATAATCCTGTTCAAGACCGCAAACTGTGGGCTAAAGAAAGATCTCCCGGTGTTTATATTTGGACTAATAAATCCAATAATAAACAATATGTTGGTTCTTCTATTAGCTAGGGTAATCGCATTAGTGAGTATTTTGTCGCTGCGCGTTTGAACTGTGTACCTCTATTGGCAGCAGCAGTCACAAAATATGGCTTGGTCTCTTTTAGTTTGACTGTTATCCCAACTGACACTGAACAAGAAGCGCGTGATTTGGAACAAGCTCTTTTGAATGATTACCGCTTTGCTTACAATACTCTTCGTATTGTTCATTCTGCAAGTAGCCATGATGGTGTTACTGGTGTAACATCTTCTACTGCTAAGGAATGTTTTGTTCATGATCTTCGCGATAGACAAACTGTACGCTTTGACTCTATTAAAACTGCAGCTGTCCATTTCAAGTTCAATGTGTCTCAAGCTTATTTGTCTTTCAAAGAAGGACTTAGATAGGATAAAGGGAGATATTAGATTAATTCTGATTCTACTCTTTCCCCTGACCTTATTTATGTTCCTGCGAAAGGATCTGGTGGACGTAATGCAATCCCTGTTTATGTTCACACTAGTGAAGGTCTTCTACCTGGTAGTCCTTTCTCTAGTATCAAAGAAGCAGCAGCGGCAACAGATTATTCTGCCAAAGGACTGAAAATTGGTAAAGTTTACAACGACAGACGATTTTATTTGTCTGAAGATAAAAACTTGCCTTCTTACATTACTTTGAATCCTCTTGGTAAATCTAAGGACTGAGCTAACTAGTTGAAAGACTGTCTTAGCTAAATTCATTTGATTCAACTGAGAGCTAATCTTAAGCCTTTGTTGAGGTTCATACAGCTTCGAGCCAACAGGTGATTCCAGAATTAAATTTGAAGTACTGTTCTATGTTGTCGGTATCTTGTACCTAATCTTCGATCTGGAAATTATTTTCATCTTCCCGCTAGCTGTTATTCTACCTAGTGTAGATTCTTTCTTTATTCCAGTCGGTTCCCGACTGTCTTTATTGTAATCATTACAATCGGTTTCAGCCCTACGGGCTTTCTAATTGGTGCTCTAGATTTGACATAATCAATACCAACACTTTTCATATTCAACAATCAAACACGCTATTGAAGAAACAAAAGCTTTGAATTGAACTGATGATGGCTTAATTTTTCTTATGCAACTTGGCAATTTAAGGTAGACCTTTAAGTCTTCCTTCTAAGCTTCGATGCAAAACAGGCAAGCTTTAGCTTGCTGACGTATGAAATGCCGGGGTGTATGCCTGGGCTCTAAGTAATTCTAAATGAAAGTTACAAAAAGAAACCCTCTTTTGTCTATTGTTAATGACTTTTTGATTGATTCTCCTGCTGCTCCTAACCTTACATACTTCTGGTCTTTCGGTTCTCTATTGGGTCTTAACCTAGTATTGATGATTATCACAGGTATTCTACTTGCAATGCATTACGTTGCTAACACAGCTCTTGCATTTGACTCTGTTGAACACATTATGCGTGATGTTAATAACGGCTGGATGCTACGTTTCTTCCATGCTAACGGTGCTTCTATGTTCTTTACACTAGTCTATATCCACATTGCACGTGGTCTATTCTATGGTTCTTACCGTAGTCCAAGAGCAATGCTATGGGTTATTGGTGTTATTATCTTTATTGTTATGATGGCTACAGCCTTCATTGGTTACGTACTACCTTGGGGTCAAATGTCTCTATGGGGTGCTACTGTTATTACTAACCTATTGTCTGCAATCCCATGGGTTGGTCAAGACCTTGTTGAATTGATTTGGGGTGGTTATTCTGTTGATAACGCTACTCTAAACAGATTCTTCAGTCTACACTATTTGATGCCATTTATCCTAGCTGCTTTGGCTTGTGCTCACCTGATCGCTCTACACGTTCACGCAAGTAACAACCCTCTAGGTATTTCTAGTGCATCTGATAGAATTAGATTCCACCCTTTCTATACTTCCAAAGATTTGGTTGGTTTCTTCCTATTTGGTATTATTATCTCTTACTTCGTCTTCTTTAACCCTAACTATTTGGGTCACCCTGATAACTACATCCCAGCTAACTCCTTGGTTACACCAGCTCATATCGTCCCTGAATGGTACTTCTTGCCTTTCTATGCGATCCTACGTGCTATCCCTGATAAACTAGGTGGTGTTGCAGCTATGTTCGGTGCTTTGGTTATTCTAATTCCTCTATCTTTCGTTGGTACAGTTAACTTGAGAACTCTACGTTTCAAACCTGTCCTACACGTTCTATTCTGGATTTTCGTCTTTAACTTCTTCTTCCTACTATGGTTGGGTGGTAAACCAATCGAAGAACCATTTATTTCTTTGGGTCAATTCGGTACAGTTGTTTACTTCGGTTACTTTGTTTTGCTTATGATTCTTGGTTGATTTCAGGCTTTAGGCCTTTACCAGAGACTTTCGGTTTATGAGATCGTAGTCTCCATCTGTCCAATATGCGTTTGTGGTAGGTAATAGTAAGAATACACTATTGGTTCTAAGATTCTAGTATACGCTAAAGGAGACAGCAGAGTTCCCATAAGAATTTCACACTTTACATCACTATACATTCTGTGTCAGAGCCTCGCTCTTGAAATTCCAGACCTACAATCTTTAGGAAGACGTAGTCTGGAGTGTCATATTGTGTCTTCTATCTACTATCTGATACAAACGCATACTGGTATCGGGGAAACTGTAGGTGTTAAAAATCCCTAAACGCTCGTTGACAAATCCAACTACAGGGTGTCTTTATTAAGCCCTCTGATATTCACACCTTATTAGCCTCAGGAAGGAAAGCAGCTATGCTGTCCAAATTTATACTTTTGGTCTTAGAGGTATTAGGTATCATATTGCATACCACTCCTATTTAATGATGGAAACATTTATACTCTTGTGTTCATACTCATCATCTACAACAAACGCATATCAGGATGATGGAAGCTGCAGTGTGTTGAGAAATCACCAATGCATGCAGTCAAACAAATCCAACAACCGCATGCTGTGTTAAGCATCTTATTGTTCCCATCTGTCTAGTATGCGTTATAGCAGGTCGATGATTAAGACACCAGAACAGGTTCCCTGTTGTCATACGGTTTGCGTTTATGGTAGACAACAGATTCACCAAAGATCATAGATCTCACATCCTAGTAGCCTTCATTTGTCTTACACTCATTTGTGCCAAATTAGATCAGAATCCCAACACCTTTGGTTCTGTATATGGCATAATACCTGCAGAGCTACACTCTGTTGACACAAGTCCTATAGGCTGTCAGAATATTCCATTCTTCTGGCCAGCCCTACGGGCTTTGGGAAACAAATGATATAAACACCTACACTACCACAAACGCATAATAGACAGATGGAAACCTAGTGTTTTGTGCTATGGTGATCCTGTACAAATCGGAAGAAAGAACTAAGAGGTATAGAAGGATAAATTCCTTTGTAGAATAACAGGGCGTGAATCGCCTTAATTAAGTTGGAATAGACGTATATGATCATGGTTCATTATAAATGCGAGATATTGACTTTACACATGCTGGTCGAATTGAGACCTAAGGTTTCTTGGGCATAAAGGTGAGTAACGGATCTATCTACCCAGAGAAGAGTTTTATAAACCTGATTTGGACGATAGATTCTGAGTATTAGGTAGAAGGGTCTGGTAAAAGCAGTCCTTGCCGATGATGCTTAGCGACAGCCACAGAATTATTTAATGAAGAAATTCCCCTTGGCAGCAGTGAGGAATATTGGGTAAGGGCCGAAAGGTTGCCCCAGTCAATATCAGGAGATGTACGACATTTCCTCGATAAGAATAACAGATTGAGTGTTCTTATTTAACATTCCGGCAAAACCTGTGCCAGCAGCCGCGGTAACACAGGTGGAATGGCATTATAAATCATAACTAGGCATTAAGTGTAGTAAGATGGACGAAAGTCTAGAGTATTGAATAAAGAATATGAGGAATAACTTGTGTAGAGATTAAATTTGTAAAAATGAGTTAGAACATCTAAGTGCGACAGCTTCATTCTAAATAAATACTGACATTGATCTACTAAAGTAAGGTTAGCGAAATGAATTAGATACTCATGTAGTCCTTACCCTAAATTCACCATGTGAAACATTCATGGCGCCTCCAGAGTATAATAGGGCAACCTTGAAATGGAATTGATTTGGCGGGTTTTTGACCTCAACTGCGGATTGTGAAGTTTAATTAGATAATGCCCTATTAATCTTACCTTACCCTTTGGTGCTGCATGGTCGAGTCAAGTTAGTGGAGTGATCCTTTGTCAACTAGCTTAAACTCCCTCTATTGGAGCAGACCTCAGATACTCATGGCCCAGTGGTAAGGGCTACATTCACAATACAATGACTGATAACAAATGGAATTTTCCTTAAATTCAGTCTTAATTCGGATGAAGAATTGAAACTCATTCTTCTGAAGCTGGAGTAGTTAGTAATCGTGGGTTAGCATACCACGGTGAATTAGCCTCAAAATTGTACAAATCGCCCATCAACAGCTTGAAGAGAAAGAATCGCGTATAGCCCCAGTTAACCAGTTCTTGACTGCTACTATTGGGTACGTGCGAAGTTTGCTCTCAACAGGCTGTAAGTTGTAACAAAGTTCGGGTAGCGGAAGCTGTCCGATAATTAGACAATGTTTACTCACCACCTATTCTCCTCCCAGAGAAGTAAAGGATTCTCATATCCTATCTCTTTCAGCCTCCGGTTGACAGCAAAAGTGCTGACAAACACAAAGAGCGCTTTAGCGCTTCGTAGATGTGGACCTATAGACAGACTCAAAAGGTCTAGGGTATAGCCAAATGGTAAGGCAGCAGGCTTTGAATCTGTGATGTGTGAGTTCGAGTCTCACTACCCTAACAAACCATGGCATCACAAGTGCTCAAGGTGTTTACCCATCTTCTTAGAGGGGATGTAGCTTAATGGTAGAGCTCCACCTTGTCAGGGTGGCAGATATGGGTTCAAGTCCCATTATCCTCAAAAACTTCTCAAACATTTTATACAGCCTTAACGGGCCGAGGATGATGATCAGTGGTTGATCAGCGGTCTGTAAAATCGTCTCGTAATGAACTGTAGGTTCGATTCCTACCATCCTCAGAATTATTTACCCTCAGAGCAAATCCAAGATTCTCTTACCGGTAGTGTAAAGGTAACACGTTAGGCTCATAATCTGAAATTAAGGGTTCGATTCCCTTCCGGTGATTTTTTAATATACAGGGATGTCGTATAATGGTAGTATGGTAGTTTTGGGTACTATCGACAGTGGTTCGATTCCACTCATCCCTATTTCTTTCAAGGGCGTCGTACAATGGTAGTACTATGGTCTCCAAAGCCATTAACGTGGGTTCGATTCCTACCGCCCTTATTCCAACCCTTGTGGAGGAACGGTAGACTCGGCAGACTCTAAATCTGTTGCTTATGGCATGTGGGTTCAAGTCCCGCCAAGGGTATACTTTCACTTGTGGTTCAGACTAAATTCTTCTGCGCTGGAGAAGAGCTAATAGCTTAAGGACCATAGTTGATATTTATTGCTATGTGCGTTGTTAAATTAAGACACTGGAGTCTATATCTGTCCAATATGCGTTTGTAGTAGATGATGAGTATAAACCAACATAATGCTATAGTCTATCATGCCCCTAAGATGTACAAGTAGCACTAAAGATATATGCGGTAAATTGTAGTAGTGTACAAGTCGATATAAAGAATTAAGAGGTAGTAAGGGAGTCTATAAAAAGAAATATTAGGAATATATTAGGAGTATATTGGGAAGATACTAGGAATATATTGGGAACGCACTCTAGAATGACAACAGGGAACCTGATCTGGTGCATTTAAACTCTTACCTACTACAAACGCGTGCTAGATAGATGGAGACAATAGTGTTTTTATTCTCAGCCTACTACAAACGCTTTTAGACAGATAGAAACTGTTGTGTGTTGAGAATCACAAACGAAAATTGACAAACAAGTCCAACTATGGTATGCGGATTGAGTATCTTAGAATGCAGGAGACTGTAGTCCAGCTACCAACTCCACTAGAATCTGGTCCGCGTTGATCATAGACTGATGTCCCAGCTTCTAGTAGACAACACATATTTGGTATTCTTAAGGTTCAGACACGCTTCGCGTGTGTTTTATATCTGTATCTGCAACAAACGCACATCAGAGTGATGGAAGCTGCAGTGTGCTAGTCTTTCTCAACGCTTGTAACCACACTAAATGTGTGCAGAAGCTGAGGGCGCATAGAATGCTTGACCCAAGTTTACAAGGAGACCAATACACAATTGATTAAATACTATATGTCTGATTCAGAGCTGTGATCTCATCTTGTTGATGAACCGACCACCAATCCATGGTACCAACCATGAACCATCTATTCTTTAAACAGGTAGCCTACCATAAACGCTTATAGTTAGATTTGTTTGCCAGCTATCATTAAGGTGGGCTTAACACACTGTAGCTTCTATCTGTCTAACACGCGTTTGTTGCAGCCGTGACTAGTCACGGCTGACACATTATATTGTTTCCACTAATCATCTACTACGAACGCATATTAGGATGCAGGAAACTGTAGTGCGTTTGTTATAGGAATGGTTTGTAAAGGCACCATTGTATCCAACTGTATACTATGCGTTTGTGATAGGATAAGGTTAAAGGTCAGTATACATCTACCAATCTCAAAAGGCTAAAGTTAATGTAAGCAGCGAAGCTGCTGATACCCTCAAATGATATGATCTCTATATTGTTATGACCTAATGCCTAGGTATGAAAGGTATTCTGTGATCTATGGAGCCTTATCATCTGTGAGATTTATGACTTATCCAGTCCAAAGGACTGACACAAGAACAGGCTGTAGCTTAATAGATGCTGATGTGCGTTTGTAAGGAATAATGCTCTGAAAGCAAAACACACCTATCATTCCACATCTAGGTTATAAGTTCAAATTTTACTTAGCTGCTTTAAACATAGTCTGGGAGCTGAAAATCTCAGATAGACCGAAGCCTCCGGCTTCTGTGGGTGAATTGTATATGTGAAAACAGCATGCTGTTGTTGGATTTGGTTGGTTTCTACACTCTTAATGGCTAATGGTTAATGGTAATTTGGTCAACCTACCATAAACGAATCCTAGAATGTAGGAAATTATGGTGTCTTAATCCATCTACCTACTACAAACGCATACTAGGATGCAGGTGACTATGTTGTCCACCTAATGGAGAGTACAAGTAACACTAAAGATCTATGAGGTAGAGAAGGTAAAAAGAGTTAAACTAATAAATTAAAAAATATGTTGATGGCAGGTAAATTGATTGGTGCTGGTCTTGCATGTATCGCTCTAGGTGGTACTTCTATTGGTATTGGTATTGTCTTCGGTTCTCTAATTACAGGTGTTAGCCGTAACCCTGCTCTACGTAAAGAACTATTTAACAACGCTATTCTTGGTTTTGCTCTAACAGAAGCAATGGGTAGATGAACATGCCCCAGGAAGTTGTGAAATTTCCTTGATAACTGGCTCAACACCATAGGTGGGTAAAATTTTCCCTTAAGACCAAGTCTGGGTAATTTTGCTAACGGTGAACCCTAAGGATTTTATCTATGGGAATACCGTGGGAGGAATAGACTGAATATCTTTCCCCTGTAACGACTTAAGACAGCAATGTCTTGGACGGGATGTTGAAATACACCTGTAACACGCCGGCACTCAGCAGCATTATGTTTGTTGAGTTGAAAGTATAGTCTGACCCTCAGGAAACTGAAGGGAGTAATTGTTGTTCGCTCTTATGATGGCTCTAATGTTCCTATACGCTTTCTAATCTACTTGGCCCCTTATTATTCTCACTTCAAGGCTTAATTTTGAATGAACTTTGCTTGTAACACAGGTAATTACAACTTTCAGGATTCTCTGTGTTTTGAGGAATAACTCCACATGAAGCCTTTGGGCTGAAATACATGATTCATGCGAAGATCTCACATTACGTTCTATAGTTGGCATTGATAGCTATAAGCGTTATGAAAGTTAACACAGCATACTATCGTTTCCATCTGTCCGCCAAGCGTTTGTAGTAGGTAGTTGATAATGACACACCATAGTTAATCTCATAAGGGGTAATAAAAGGCAAGTCTTCAATATATCTCCTCCTCATTCAAGCAGGACTCCGTCTTTGAGTCTACAATTGTGCGTTAACAACCCTTCGGACTTCAGATTAGATCTATCCATTATGCATTTGGAAGACTGAATTAAACCAACTTCATGACAGTGCTATGTGCTTTAGTTAACCTTGATGGACAGACTTTCAATCTGCTGAGAATTTAGGAGAATTGTTTCCAGCTGTCTATAAAGCGTTTGTAGTAGGTAGTTGATAATAACACCATAAATTCTTAGACTTTAATTATGCGTATAGAGGTAGAATAAGAGAGCGCTATTCAGTTCTAGATTCTAATAAGGCCTTTAGATAGAAATAATAGTCTTTCAGATCAACGATCTTTCCTACCACAAACGCATAGTAAACAGATAGAAACTACAGTGTCCCAGAACCTTAGGTTTGTGATAAGCAATGCAGCTGCTGGAAGGGTGTATAATCTTGAAATTGCTGTTATACCTTTTGAAGAGAGTAGTACTTAAATGCATAATGGTATACTCTTGTGTTTATACTCATCATCCACAATAAACGCATGCTAGACAGATGGAGACTATAGTGCGTTAAAGACTCCCTAACGAGGGCAGTCAGACAAATCCAACAACCGAATGCTATGATTAGAGTGCACTTGAGTCATTCGGATCAATTTGTGTATGGCATGTCGCTACGCTCCATCAATATAGTTTCCCAGAGATCTGGATTCGTTTGTAGTAGGATGTTGATAAATTCACCATTGTCTCCAACTATCTACTCTCGTTTGTAGTGGGTGTATGTCCACAGCTCCATTGCCATAGGCCATAGGTAGGACAATTGTGATGAAACCAAACGCTTAGCGCTTGCCTACCATAAACGTACGTTGACAGATGGAAACTATTGTGTGTTGCAGTTATCCTAACGCACGTAGCTATCAAATCCAACTACAGAATTTATGACTTGTAAGTTTCAGCAGAGCCGAAGGCTGGAGTGATAAAGCTAATGGTATCTATTTCAATACACCTACTACAAACGCTTTCTAGACAGATACAAACTTTAGTGTTGAAAATTGTTAACGCTTGTAGCCATAAATCCAACTATAGTGTGGGAATAGCATACAAGTCTGACTAAATAACAAAGAGGTAATAAGGAATAAGAATAACGGACAAGTTCCATTCGAGGGAAGATAGCATAAAAGATGCTAAATGTGGATTACTAGACTACTATTAATTGGACAACAAATGTTGTGCGGCAAAGAGAATGACGACGTTCATTTTCTTAAGCTCAATCCAAAGGTGAAAGCCTGCAATAATAAGCCAGTGAACTGAAATATCTAAGTAACTGGTTAAAGAAGAGCCCCAAGGGGCTCCACTCTCTGAGTAGTGAAGAGCGAAAGGAAAAAAGCTGGAAGACTGCCAAGCCTAAACAGGTTTGCGTTTTCGAAAAGAAGTAAGGGGATTTCGATCCTTTGACACTAGGGTGATTTGGCTGAGTAAAAATAGTAGGCGATAGTGAATAGTACCGAGAGGGAAAGTTGAATAAAGTAACACGGATGTGTGGTGAAAGAGAACATGAAACAATTAGCATTTAAAGAGGAGAGAGGTTCAGGCCTTTATCCTTTACCTATTGCATAATGGGTCAGTTAGTTATTAGCTTGGAGCAAGGTGCAAGCCGAGTGAAAACAATAAAAGTTCCAACTAATAGACCCGAACCCAGGTGAACCAGTCAGCATCAGGTTTATAGACCGAACAAGTGAATGTTGCAAAATTCTTTGATGAATGCTGATTAGTGGTGAAATGTTTATCGAACCTGGATATAGCTGGTTTATCGCGAAAACTATTTAAGTAGTTGTATTATTATTTTCTTTGCCCAGTATAGTACCAGATTAGTCTGTTCTCATAAAGGGGTAATATGATAGATAATATATCAGACGGTAGATGAGAAGGTCTATTGTCAAGAGAGAAACAACTCCATCCATAGGTTAAAGTTCCTCAATTATAGCTAAGTGAATTTAAGACAATCAGCTGATAAACACCTTCATAATGTAAGAATAGTAGATTCTACCCTTAAGAGAGTGGATAACACCACAAGGAAGGGGCTTCAAGTCCTAAGGTCATATTGTCAGAAATGTACGGATCTCTATGTTATATACTTTAACCATGGGCAACATTTGTTGCGGTAGCGATACGAGAAAAGTAAAAAACCTTTTCTTTGATAATGCTGACATGAGTAACGTAAAAAAGAGAGTTAAAATCTCT